GCCGACCCTCCGGGCCCCGCCCAGGCGCCCAAGACCGCTACTCGGCCTCCGCACAGCGCCGGGGCCCCGCCGCCCAGCCCCGGTCCGAGCGCCCACTCCCAGGCCGAGACTTCTCCCCGCAGCAGCCCCACCCGCAACCTAGGGGTCCATTGTCCTTTCGGAAAGCGGGGAAGGTGGTGCGGGCGGGTCTCCATCCCCGAGGCCCGAGGGTGGGGGAGCGGGCGTGGCCCCGGGACGCGCCGAGTCATCCCGAGGGAAGAAAGGGTTGGGAAGTTTGGGCCAGAAAAGGCTTTCCTTGGGGGGCTGAGGCGCCTGGCGAGGATGACTCCCACGCGGGCTCTGGCACAGGGTGTTCAACCCAGGTTACAGCCCCGGAGGGAGGGTGCGGACAGGAGCGGTGGCATCAGGTCCCCACCCCCACCCGCGGCTGCGGCTTTATCTCGGCCTCTGCCCCTGACACCTGCTTTGCACTTAGCGGCGAGGCGGTGGCCAGCCCGGGCTGCAGACCTCGCCTGGTGACCGATCCCTCAAGGTTATTACAGACTCCACCTCTGGGTCGCTAATGAAAAGGTCCGGTCATTCGGAGAATTCTCCGCAATGGGCTCAGAACGAGTCCAGACCGCGCGCGGGAGGTGGCCCCGCGAGGCGTGGGTGCGGGGCGCGCCAGACCTGCAGGGTGGCGTCGCGCCCTGGGTGGGGTCGCGTCTGCGCGCGTCCTTCGGGGTGCGGGGCCGCTTACCGAGCTCGATGTTGCCGATCGCACGCCGCAGGTGCTCCTCGGTCACCGTCTCGCCGACCACCACCAGCAAGTAGAACTTGCTGTCGAGGAAGCGGTGAGACAGGCTGGGCGAGGTGGACGCCGCCGGGTTGGCGATGCTGCCGGATGGCTCCGGCTCGGTGGCTTCCACCACCACGGTCGCCATCCTGCCGGCCCGCTACGCCTTGGCGAAGTACTCGTCTCCCGCCGCTCCTCAGCTCTGCGGCAGGAGAAAGGATTATCTCCGAAGGTGCTGCCGCGCTCCGCCCCCTGCGTCCCCCAGCGGCGCGGCGCGGCGCCGCCTCCTCTCCGCCCTCTCCCAGCGCCGCCGAGCGCGCGCGGCTGAGAGGAGCGGGGAGTGCGCAGGGCGGGTAGGCGGCGCCGCTTTTATATGGAGACTAGGCACGGCGCCCGGAGGAGGAGGAAGAGGAGGAGGAAAGGACCACCCGGCACATCCTCACGCGGTGGCTGCCTCCGCGCTTCCAGCCCTTGGCCCAGGGCTGATGTCATCCGCAGCAAATCATCTCGCCCGCGGCCCGGAAGCTGGAAGGACGAGGTGTGCGGACAATGGTCTGGGCAGGGCCAGGAGGCAAGGGCCAGGGGACCCGCAGGGCTCCCACTGCAGCCGCGAATGGGGAAGGCGCTGTCAACCCACACCCACCCTCGATTCACGCGCCCACCTCCCGCTCCAACCCGCCACCCCTCCCCCTTGCAGGGGAACGGAATGAGTTTCCATTTTTCAGAGCGGGACTCTTTGCTACATCCCCGAGGTGCACGAAGTGAGGTCTCTCAGTGGTAAAGCCAGGGCCTGAGGAGCCGTGATAGAGGCGGGGCTGCGGGTATCCCACCCAGGAAGACTGCAACCTGTCTTTTCTTTGACCTTGTGCATTTAGGAGATATGATTACGATATTTACCAATAGTGATATGTGCCGCCTTCGCTGAAAAAATACAGGAAAATGACAAAACCTAAACCTATTTTTGTTGAGGCTTTGCACCCTACTCTGTAAGGACTAATGGGGACAAAAAAAAAAAAAAGCACTGGCCTTGTGGTGCTCCTGGGAAATGGGAGGGATACAGATACATTATCTTGGATACAGATTTCTTAATAATGTGCTGAACAGATAGTTACCAGGCATAACAAAGAATAAAGACAAGATACTGTCTCGAACCCAGCAGGAGCACAGTGACTATAATGTACTTTTCAATTCCTTGGGGAATACACAGGCAAAATCATTTCACATGACAATGATGCCTTTTAAAATGCATGTGGCACAGGGAATTCTTATTGCCTTTGTCTGTGTTTAGAAGAAGTCATAAAAATGTTTTTTAAAGGCAGCCTATCTGCAAGCATTTCTCACAAATATCCTGAATACAGCTTCTGTCCCAGGAAAGGAGAGGAGAGTGAAGAAGGAACTAAATGTACAGACGCGGTATCAGCATAAACACTGGGGGATTTAGAAAAGAAGAATGGGTGAAAATTAAAATAGTCAGAAGAGCTTTAATACTAGAATACATATCGGTAAACAGAAATCACTTAGACACTGTAAGATGCTCAAAATAACCCAGTGTCTTTGGTGTCCACTGCCGTGACTTACTGGTTATGAATTCTTCGCCCTATCAGCGGTGGCAAACCTATGGCAGGCATTTTATTTTTCTTTTAAGATAACATGTTAATATATAGGTTGTTTTTTCTAAAGTAACACCTCAGTATTCAGATTTAATGGCAGTCTTGGTACTTTGGTACTTTGAGATAAATAAGTGGGTTTGGGTTGCAGTTGGAGCCCTGGTCTCAAAGATTCGCGATCACTGGGGGGCCTAGCTCATTGTGAAACTGGTTAGGAGGGGAGATGGACAGCCAAACACAGTGCATTCCCTTCTCTATGCCTCATTAATCAGGGTGGCATAGAGCAATTGGGAGCCCTGAAAAGCTCAGTAAAAAGCTTCAGTCTCCAAGAAATAGACTCAGTTTCTAAGAGAAATGGTAAGATCGTATCTGGACCAAACTGTTCAATCCCCGCTAGAGAGGGGAGGCCAGCACGGAGGCCCACAGCTGCAGAAGGAGGTTTGGTGAAGAGCACTCTTCCAGTGTGCACCCTGTCTTGTGACTTTTCCATTTCTCTGAACCACCATTGCTTTTACATATGTAACAGTTTTCTTTTACTCGGTTATTTCTTTTACTTACATTTCTTTTGAAATAAAATTCTTTTATTATTATTACTTTATACATGGAAATATTGATACTGTTTACAAATAGAAGGTATCCCTAAAAATTGTGATTAAACTCCTGCTACGTACGATTGTTATTAGCTCGAGACTGAGCTGGAGGCTACCTTGTCTTGGGTAAGAAGAGATTAGCAAATGGAGAAGTGTTGGAGTCATACTAACTTCTAGCTGCATTGTTTCCTGTGTTATAACAGAAGATTGGATGGAGATGGGACAGAAGAGCTTTCTCCCTAGGATACTGTACAATATAATACCATAACCATGAGCTACCGAAATCATCACCCACCTTTTGAAAAACAGAGACATAATGGGAGAACGTGTCACATAACTCAAGCACAGACCGCTACTTTACAATCCTGTGACTTAGACAAGTGTAGCACTTATCCCTTGAAGCAAATCAGGAACCTCACAGACATCTTGGAGCCTTCTCTGCCCTTGAACTTCGCGTGCATAGAATCTTCTCAATTTTACCTTTAATAATCTCCCAATCTACCCACCCACCCACTATCATCACCCTGGGCCTCATCGTGAGTGGCACCAGTGTCTGTGCTTGGAAATGGGTTCTAAAGTCAAGACTACCTGGTTTACAACCTTAATACCATATTTTTTCATTTTTTCTTTACGGTGCTGGAGATTGAACCCAGGGCTCACACATGCCAGGCAAGCGCTCTACCGCTGAACCACACCCCCTGCCCCTAAAACCATAATTTATTAGCTGTATAACCTTAGGCAAAGGTGCTTACCCGTTGTGTGCCTTGGTTACCTCATTTGTACAGTATAGTAGCATTGAGTACCTAGCCACAGCCTGCCTGGGGGATAGTTTAAAGATACAAAGTGCTTAAAAGTGCCTTGTACATAATAAACAGATAGTTTCTTCTTTGTTATGTATCATTTGCTCTCTTTGTTATTATTTATCATTTCAGTATGCAAATGTTCAAGCATATATCACCAATAAAGATTTTTTTATAATTTTATGTATATTGATAGGTAAATCTAAAGGCTTGATCAGATGCAGGTTTGATGTTTTTGCAAGTGTATTTCATAAGTGATGTGTTCTTTCATCAGGAGGCCCGAAGACTAGTTGATTCATTCTGTGATTTTAGAAGCTATTGATGATTATTACCTAGATTGGAAAATTAGCATATTCTAATTTTAGAGTTCTTCATTTAATAGCTGAAAGGTTTTAAGTGAACCTTACCACATCCTTTGGTTCACTAGAGGTAACATTTGTACAGAAAAAAAAGGATAAACACATGATTATTTCTCTTTATTTACTAATTCTCAAAATAATGAATTCACACCATTGCATCCTACAAAAGTGATGATTTTTTATGTCTTTTTGAGACAGTGTTTCACTATGTGGTTCAGGCTGGCCTTGAACTCACTTTGTAGCCCAGGTTGCCCTCAAACTTACAGTGATCCTCCTGCCTCGGCCTCCCAAGTGCTGGGATTACAACATGCACCACCATAGCTGGCTATGATGATTATTTTTGTCATTAATAATATAACTTGTGGTTGTTATTCATACTGATGCCTTAATTTCCCCCATCTTTGGTCAGTGGTATAGTGAGATATTCCTTGTTCACCTTGTACTTACCTGACCTTAGACATTCCTCTGGGGAATCCACATTCCTTAAGTAGAAAATGATATATAGAGAAAAATGGTATATATAATCTGAATATAAGGGTTGCTACTACCTTGATGAGTTTTTTCTAGACATTTTCAGTAGACAGAAATAAGAAAATCATATCAAGATGAAATACATTGTGAGTTCATAGTGATATTGCCCCTTGATGATCATGAGCACAAGTACTTTGCTTAATGTTCTATCTTTCATCTGTATTTCTTTTGTGTTTTGTCTAGAATTCCAGTTCTCAAAGACATCAAAGATAATGGAATTAGAAGAACAGTTATTCATTAAACTTGTCTCACAATATATTCAACTTATATTCACAATAGCTTTAGATAAAAATGGAGTACGTTGGTCCAAAACATGATTACTAAAAGCAGTTTAAACTTCTTTGTAATTATTTTTGTTTTTAAGACTATCACACGTGAAAACCAAAACTCTGAGTTGGCAGATAATAAAATGATTATTCTTTTGTTTTATCCCACAATATAGAAATAATATTCTCAGGACAATAACCATATTTACTAATATCAACAGGATTACTAAAAGCAGTTTGGAATTATTTTCAAGTTCCTTCATCAATAGATACACCCTAAAGGCAAGCAGTTTTATAGTTTAATTAATTTTTTCTTATATGATTATGCCTTTAACTCAATAGTTGGTTTTATATGTTCCATTTTGTTTTCAGTATTTCTAAATTGATTTTCTAAATTTAATTTTGTTTTATAATTATGTGATATATTTACCTGGTCTCAGGGTATGTACAAAACACTTTTTAGGCAGCAGAGAACTTCAGCCTCTATCCCTGTCCCTTCCATCATGCTCCCTATCTTTCTGTATAAGGAACCCTTCCTTTTTAACCTTGGCTTAGTTTTTCATTTTAAAAATTCATACATAGTCTGAGGTATAGCTCAGTTGTATAGTTTTTGCTTAGCATATGGTAGGCTCTGGATTCAATCCCCAGCATGGAAAAGAAAAAAAAATGCATACTGCTCATTACCTTTCAAAAATAAGTAATAGTCTGTCTATCTATCTATCATCTACCATCTATTTATCTCTCTATATAATTTTATATATAATATATAAAATTTTTTCCACTAATATATCCTGGAGATAACTCTATAACAGTATAGATTTATACCCCTCATCATTTTTTTACAGCCACATACTAACCCATCATGTTTATTTACTATAACTTATTTGACTGGTCCATTGTTGGTAGACATTTGAATTATCTCCAGTTCAGTTTAAACTATGAATAGTAGTTATAGTTATTATTTTTTCCCCTGTGAAACAGTGGTCACTTGACTGGCATCCTTATGTCCATTTTGACCCTCAGGCAGTCTATGCTTTACAACACTAGGAGAATGAACTTTTCTGAGTTGGCCATGTTACCCTATTTCCCCTC